GCAAACCATTTCTATACCGTATTGTTAGGTGTGATGAAAAATGGATTCTTTTGGACAATTCACTAGTGTTTGGCAAAATGGTTGGATAAAGAGGAAGTGCCAAAACTTAGTCCGAACCCGAATATTCATCACAAAAAGCTAATGGTGTCTGGTGGTCCAGCACTGGTATTATCCACTATAGCTTCATGAACCCTGGTCAGTCGATTACAGCGGATGTCTGCTGGAACCAATTGGATGAAATGATGAGGATGCTTGTGATTAAGCAGCTGAGATTGCTCAATAGAGACAGACCATCTCATCCTTGTGCAAGACCACATGTCAGAAAAAACAATGCTGCTCAAACTACAGAAGTTGGACTTGGAAACTCTCTGTCATCCACCATATTCACCAGATCTTGCACCAACTGACTACCACTTCTTACAAGGGAAAATACTCAATTCTCAACAAGCTGTGGAAAACACCTTTGACGATTTCATTGCCATTCATTCTCCAGGCTTCTTTGCTGCTGGCATAAACAAGCTACTGTTAAGATGGCAAAACTGTGTCAATAGTTTAGGTGCATACTTTGGTTGATTGTACTGCTGCTTGTTTGAAATATACTAAACTATACTTTTGATTAGAAATTGGACATTTCATATTTAATGACCTATATTTATAGCATGTATATATATACTGTCTTTCCCTGTGCTACAAAACTGAATTCCCAATAACCCCAACACAACTACTCATTTCCTTTACACTGAAAGACACACACAGCAGCCTCAGATGGTAACAATACCAACAAGATCACCAGTAATAGGAAGAATAAAAATTTGTCTTTCTGCCCTCAGGTTATGCACACTGTGTACAAACTATTGAGTTTTAAAGTTACTTGAAATAGGTCTTATTATTGTAGTTTTTTCCTACCAACTCAATCACAATTAAATTCCTTATTTTCTACTTTACGTTTGATTTTTAGGTATTGCTTTTTAAATTTAATTTTGTTTTGTTAGATTATGAAAAATACTTACTTCCAAAGTCAAATCTATAAAGTAAGGAACAGTCAGAGTAATTTAATTATCTCCTATTTCTTCTACCTATTTCCTTCCTTCTTCCTATAGGTAATCATTGTTTTCATTTTTGGCTTCCTTTTCATAATATAAGCAGCAGTGGATGAGAACCCAGGTCTGTTGACTTCCCAGTCCCAGTATTTTGTGGGTGGAGTGATGAAAGTCTTTGACATGTATTGACTCATTTAGTCTTATAACCAACCTTTGTGGTGGTTTCTATTACATTCCTATTTTACAGGCTTTACCTAGCTTTCCTTTTTACTTCCACAGTATTCAGTCTCTGTCATGGCACCTTTTTTTTTTTTTTGAGACAGAGTCTCACTCTGTTGTCCGGAGTAGAGTGCCGAGGCATCAGCCTAGCTCACAGCAACCTCAAACTCCTGGGCTCAAGCAATCCTACTGCCTCAACCTCCTGAGTAGCTGGGACTACAGACATGCGCCACCATGCCCGGCTAATTTTTTTTTTCTATATAGATTTTTAGTTGTCCAAATAATTTCTTTCTGTTTTTAGTAGAGACGGGGTCTCGCTCTTGCTCAGGCTGGTCTCAAACTCCTGACCTTGAGTGATCCACCCGCCTCAGCCTCCCAGAGTGCTAGGATTACAGGCATGAGCCACCGCGCCCGGCCCATGGCACCTCTTTATCCTGTTAATAATAAGCTCCTGCAGGCAAGGACTGGAGCAAATTTGTTTTCTTTATAACACAGTGCCAGACACACAGCGGACATTCAAATATATGTTGAATAAATGAATAAAAGATTAAATAGTTCACTTGAGGGAAAGAAGAAGATGGACTTTGCTGGGAAAACACAAGAATTTAGTCATTGCTCTGCCGCCTGGAGTTGTGACCAGTCTGCTTTTAAAAAAAAGGGCAGACATAAAAGTCCCTTCGGGTAGAACATAATTGGTTTAGACTTCTCCTAGTATCAGGACACCTGTAAATCTCCTTAATCCCATGTCCTTTGCTGTATCATACAGTGAGAGGGATGAGCCAGAAAGATAGCGTGTGTGTGGGCCCTCACTGAGTATGTGGATGGCCTTGGGCAAAGTTACTTAACCTCTTTGTGTTCAGTTTTCTTTTCTGTAAAATGGGGAATAGTCATGCCTACATCATAGGATTGTTATGAGGAGTTGGGAGCAGTTCCTAGCACTTAGTAAGCATTATATAAATGTTTGCTGGTAGTGGTAGTAGTAGTAGTAGTAGTAATAGTAGGATTGATACCATTTTGGTAAAGAGTAAGCTCTATAAACTGTAAACATTGGGGATATGTCTTGGGGGTCCTCAATACTACCCTGTTGGAGGATTTGCTAGAAGGACTTACAGGACTCAGTGTATAGTTGTATTCACAGCTAAGGTTTATCACAGTAACATAGTATAAGTATACACAGCTGGATTATAAGAGAAAAAGACACGTGAGGAGTTTGGAGGAATCCATGTGAGGCTTCCTTCAGCAATGAAATGCAACAGTATTCTGTTCAGGAAGGCCCATTAGAGAGACTCAACACCCAACGTTTTTATTGGGAGCTGGTCACATAGCACCCACTGCTTAGCACATACCACAATTCCAGACCCCTAGAAGCAGAGCTTGTTTTCTACATGAACCACATTGTTTGCATAGTCTAGGCACAGGCAGCCACCGCTGTCAGTTTACTGTTGACTGGGAGCACTCCAGGAACCAAACTGGGCAAGGGTCACCCTTGCAAACAGGCCTTTCTATAGATAGCAGTCTCTCAGGCTTTCAGTGTTAATTCTTTTGTGCACAGGGTAAAAAAAAAAAAAAAAGGTATTCTCTGCTCCAGAATTAGATCACGGTTGTTCTGTGGTACTGGTTATGGAGGTTGTGGTGGGTAATTCAAGTGCCCTCCTTTTTGCTGTTTTTCTTTTCCAGAATGGCTTTGACTACTTGCTGACATACAGTGACAATCCCCAGACTGTGTTTCCTCGCTACTGTGTTAGTTGGATGGTTTCCAGTGGTGAGTAGGGACATGTATACCTGAGTCAAGCATTTGGTTTTTCTTTATCTTTTTAATGGCAGCAAGAAAATTAGTACTCATCTCACTGGAGTCCTATTAGGGAAATTAAACATCTTTTTGGATTCATTCTTGAAACTATATATATAGATAACAAAGTCGCTAGATGATGTTTAAATTATAGGGTCCCCAAAAGGAAGGTGTACCCAGAGGAGAGATTTTAAAACATTTGCTTCAGTGCCTTAAATATGGACTATGTACATTGATATATTTAATTTTTTTTTTCTTCAGTAGCGTTAAAGGCCATAAGATCTGACATAGCGAATGTGGTGATTGTAGAGCAGTCACCTGGGGAAAGGGGCACCTGGCTCAACAAAGGCTGCACGTCACAGCTGTACCTGCACCTTTCCTTTCCAGTTTCCTGTCTTAGCATCCTCAATAAGAAGTAATTTTCTTTCTCTGGTTCTTTATAGGCAGCTTCTTATACTTCAGGGGGAGAATGGAGAGATTAGGTATTTCTTTTTAATGTTTGTCTAAATAAGATTGGCAGCTACTTTGGCCATGTCACTGATTAAGTGATATTTTAATCACCTAAAAAGAGTCTTTTGAGACCTCAGTGGCCTGATCAGTACCCCTTTTCAAAGGATCAGAGGTCATGGTTTGTTTTCACAAACCCACACATAGGGAACACATTCTGCGAGGCAGCTGTCATCCACAGGTTGGCAGTCAGGCTGTGATCTCTGTAGGGAAGAGCTAGCTCCCTACTGTCAGAGGTAGGGCCTCTAATTTTGAGCCTACTGTTGGTTTGTATGTCATCTTAACCAAATTCCTCTGTCTCCTGACAGGCATGCCAGATTTCCTGGAGAAGCTGCACATGGCCACTCTGAAAGCCAAGAACATGGAGATTAAAGTAAAGGACTACATCTCAGCCAAGCCTTTGGAAATGAGTAGTGAAGCCAAGGCCACTGCCCAATCTTCCGAGCGGAAGAATGAGGGCAGTCGTGGCCCTGCTCGGATCGAGTATGCCTGAAGGACTTTGGGATGAGAAGGAATAGGTACTTCCAGCCCCGTCTCGGTCCCTTTTCACTCTGCTACAGAATGGGGACAAGCCACATGTGTTAGAAGGCATCTGCTGTAACTACCAGTGCAAGATAATTCAATAACTGGTGTCCGATTTCATTCAGAGCCCTGATTGCTCTTATCAACACAGAGAGAAGAAGGCTACATCCGTGGGGGTGTTGACACATTCTCAGGCCAACCATTTTGAAATTCAGTATTTCACTCAGCTAATCTGGAACAAACCTCTCACCTCAGGCTAGAAGGAGATGACCTTCATTTGCGTCCTCTGAGTAATTTCCTCTGCTGACATTCCAAATCCCACCATTGGTTTTGTGGTGCTTTGGATTTCCTTTAGTTCTGCAGGTCCACATGGAAAGTGTAGTTGGCTGGTTGAGTCAAATGAGGGGTCGCTGGGAGTGTTCTTGGTAGCAGTCTTGATGTGAATGGGTGTGAACGATACTTGGCCATGTTAAGTGCCTTGTCCTCACCTTTTATCTTTAGGGACATGAAGTTTGTACCAAGACGTTTCTCTCCTTGCCTGCATAATACCACCCCATTGACTCACTTTACCCAAAGCAGTTTCCTCTGAATTGGCCAGTTTTTCTATATTCATGCACAGAATTCATTGGATCATTGCCTCCTTCCTAACCTTAGCCCATTTACCAAGAGCACTGGAAGATGAATCCTTTTAGATAGTAGCTCCCTTTATCATCAGTGTATTGATAGGGTCAGTGGAGAGGCTCAAAACATCATATTTAAATTAAATTTTTTTAACCTTCGTGTCAAAAAAGAGGAGTTGGGGAGTCGAGTGGAATATAGCTCCACTGTATAGAAAACACCATTTAGATTCAGGCATTATTTTTCAGACTTCAGGTTTGACTTGTCCTTTTTGGAAGGCTAAAGGCAGAGAAATGGTGGCTGGGCCACTTCCCCAGAGCTAGATCTATAGACAAGCTGTGTGAACACATAGGTGTGATCTTGCCCCAAATACTAATATAGTGGGGGTGTGGTTTATGTGACCCTCTTGTTTCTTTAAAAAGCTTTTCCTCCTCTCTTCAGAGCTAAAATAAAACCAACTACGCTGTTCAGATAAGGTCACCATCAGACGGTATCAGTTTGGCCTAGCTGGTTTTGCTGTGGTCATGCTGCACTCTCTTGGGAGAATAGGGATCAAGTTTTACATCTTCCTTCTTTTTTTCTGGAGTCTAAATGGCTAGATTTTTCCTTTTTTTTTTTTTCCTGCTCGCTACCCTTTTTTGGTGTTAAAAAAGTGATCTAAACCTGAGACTAATGTAAACCCTTGACCTTCTTGTTGCCTATACAGTTTTGTGCCAAGGAGATAACTGCCCCCAGTGTTTTATGTCTTGCCTTCTCTGAGTTGTTGGCGGAGCAGAGAGAAGCATTGAGCAGTCCCAGCTTCTTTTTATTAATCGCTTCTCTCTTCTCTTCTCCCCAGGACCTGATAAAAGCCAGGGAAGAGTCCCTGGGCTATGTCTGAACTTAACACCTGCGATCACTGGGGCGTGGGTGGATGTGTGAGGGAGTATGTGTGTGCATGCACAGGTGCTGGGAAGTTGTGGTTACTCTATATTCTGACTTACGGCAGTTTGACTCTGCACTTGGGGTCTGTCTGTACAGTTACCTGTGTCACTGTCATGATTTCACTCCTAACTGTGACATTTTTATCAAATGCGTGAATAAATACATAAAGATTGGTACAAAAGAGTGTTTGTCTTTGGACAAATGGAGGTGGGGAAATCTTGCGTGTTGGACTTACGATTTCTTCCTGATCATAAAGTTGAAAAGATTTTCTACTCCCAAGAGTTGGCAGGTGGATGCAGCAGGGCTTGTTCTTCCTTGGTAGGTAGTGGCTGACACACAGCTACCTAGTCTAGACACCTAGCCTTTTCCAGGTGACCAGTTTGGCAACTG